GCCCCCAGTTTCCTACAAGCGGGGATGACATGGTAACATGATAGCTGAGTGCGCATGCGTGTAGTACAGTAGACGATGCTATGAGAGTGGTCCCGTTTACAGCCGAGCAAATGAAGGCTCAGAGAGGCAAAGGGACTTCCCAAGGTCTTGCAAAGCAGTCAGGCCAGGACTTGGACCCGGGTCCTCCCAGCCGCACACTCTGCACAGCACCCTCCAGGTTGCACGTCGTCCTTGACCGTTTACCTCCCTCCTTACCCTCCCTGGTCGTTCTGGCTGTTCAGCTTCACCATCAACTCGCTTCCATGCAGCGCCTCAGAGAGCAGCGGGGCTTACAAATGCGTTCGACTCCTTCCTCCTCCTGTGAAATACTGATTGCTGAGGAAACTGAGGCACAGGAGGCTAAGCAACTTCCCAAGGCCCCCGGGCGAGTGTGGCACAGCTGAGATTCCAACTGAGATCGGAGGGCCGCACTGGGAACTCAGCCCCTCCACACGCCACACGCGTGGCCTTCAGGGTGGCCCGCTCAACCTTGGACGCACTGGAATCCCGGGGCCTCCGGGTCCCGGGACTACATGATGCTGTGACAGTGCCGTTCCGTCCACTGAGCACGTGCTGTGTGCCAGGCCCTGTGAGCCTGTCTCTCCTCCTGGAAACGCATGCCGCTCTCCCAGGAGCCCCGAGGCAGGCGTGGGTTTGCCGTGTTAGAGCGGCGTGGGCATGCACACCTCAGGGGCCAGGGTGCGGCGGTGGGACTGGAGCCCAGGCCGGTTTAACTTTGGAGCCGATGAGGGTGAGAGTGGGGGCGCCTGGAGAAACTGTCATGAGGAGTCATGTCCTTGGAGACTGAGTGCGTGGGGCGGGGCGGGGGGAGACAGAGAGAACAACAGAGAGACAGAGAGACAGGAGAGGGAAGGAGACGGGGAGGGACACACACACACACACACACACACACACACACACACACACACACGGAGTCAGCTGGACAGTGACAGTTCATCTTTCGTTTGAGCCAGGAGAGGCCTTGTTGAGAGCAAGACTGAGCTCATTCTCTCTGGAGAAGAAAAGGGGAGGGAGGGGGAAAGAGGGAGAGGGAGGGTTGCTCAGGAGGTGATGACTGCAGTGGGGGGAGGCGGGAGGCCATCCGGCAGCCCAGCTCCAGAATCAGATAAGCGTGTTTGCCGTGGAGCACACGCTGGACTTTGCCCTGCCCTCCTCCTCGCTGTGACTGGCACCGGGAGTGGGGGAGGTGGACAGGAGAGGCGCCTGGGAGCCCCTGGGAGCAGGAGGGAGGAGCCTGGGGAGAGGTCTGGGGGGTCTGGGCAAAGTGAAATGTTCTTGAGTCCCTTTGACAAGGGAGGCTCACCTGTCTGAGCCTCAGTTTCCTCACCCGTAAGATGGACAAGTGAGCAGTACTGACTTCCGCCGGCGGCTGTAAGGTTCAGATGGCCGGCTCTCCGTACAGCGCCAGCTCACAGTAAATACACAAGAAACACTGGCCTCATGGCTGTCACTGGCCCAGGCGGACGCTGCTGCGCTGGCTGCGACCAGCTCACGTTCAGCGGTCCCTCCTGCCTTGCCTCTCTGCCTGTGGGCTCTGCAGTCAGAGGGCCAACGCTGGTGGAAGGCTGTGCGGCCCGAGTTCGGAGGGCATTGCCAGGGGCAGGCAGGCTGGTCCTCTGAGGACGGCGAGAAGGGCTGGGGGAGAGGCAGCGGGGGTGGGCTTCCGCGCACTGGGGGGGTGTTTGCTTTTCCTTTTTTAGAATTCAGTTTTAAATAGTATATCTGCATGTGCTGGGTATTATGTAACATGTTACATAATTTTAAAAGTGTGGACCAGTAACAAAGAACTGCCCCCGTCCCCGTCCTCAGCTCTCCATCCCCCCAGGCTGTGTCTCCAGTTCCTTCTGTGACCTTCGCTGTGTCCTGCAAACACAAATACGTAGAAATCTCTTATCCCATTTTCTTTTTTAAATATATTTTATTGATTTTTTACAGAGAGGAAGGGAGAGAGATAGAGAGTTAGAAACATCAATGAGAGAGAAACATCGATCAGCCGCCTCCTGCACATCTCCTACTGGGGATGTGCCCGCAACCCAGGTACATGCCCTTGACCGGAATTGAACCCGGGACCCTTGAGTCCGCAGGCCGACGCTCTATCCACTGAGCCAAACCGGTTTCGGCTCTTATCCCATTTTCAATGTTCCGCGGTAGCCGCCCAGCAAACCTACCAAACTGCTCCACCTGGGCCCTTAAGAGCGTCCCCGGCTGTGTCCGCAGGTGCCGACCGGAGGCCCCGCAGTTTAGTTCATCAGCATCCTTTTTGGTGGTTTCCAATCTTTTGCTGTGGCCAAGCCACATGGTAGGAGACGAATCGCCTCCTACACATGCCGTTGCCACATGTGCCCATATCAGCAGCCTCCATTCTAGAATAAACGGCTGAGCAAGGGCGTGAGAACACGGGCCCTGGACCCTGGGTTCCTATCCCCGTCTGTCTCGGCTCTGGTGTGGGAGCTGCTCTTCTCGGACACATTTGTAACTGAGGCTCGGGACAGGGCGAGGGGAAGTCAGCTGAGCCGGAGCAGGGCGGGGGGAGAGCGTATGTAGCAGAGGCGATCTGACCCCTTCCTTTCCAGTCACCAGAGGACAGAAATACGGACCACAGGTGGCCTCCGGTCCCGTCTCTAGTGAGAGCATCTCAGCCCCAAGAGCAGGATTCTGGTGCCCAGACACGCACGTTTCTTACAAGTCCTCCGACTCGCCCTGCCCCCGGCCCGAGGCTGCTGAGACCCAGCGCCTGCCCGGTGCTGGGGACCAGCTGGGCCGCTGCCTGGGGTGGTGCAGATTACAGGAGGCATTTCCCTCTGTGATGTTTCTCCATCAGTGTCTCTGCTAGGCTGGCCCATGACCTTGGGCAAGAGATGCAAGTGACACAAGTGGCCTTAGCCTCAGTGGCCTGGACTGTAAAGTGAGAGAATCCTATTTCTCTCCTTGTTTTCAGACCTAATTTTTTTCCCTTAATAGGTCTCACTCATCCACCCACCCACCCATCCACTCATTCATTCATGGTGAATTCATGCACCCACCAAGGGCATAATATATGTCAGGCCTGTGGGAGCTGAAAACCAGACAGCTCCTGCCCTCCCTGTGCTGACAGTCTCTCTCCGTGGCATTGCCAGGTGGGAGCGGGCTCTTTAAAGGGGGCTCAAAGGTGAGGACCCTCCCCATCATGTGCTGCCCCCAGGGGAGTCTGTCCATATGTCCGTGTCCATGTGTCGTGGGGCTGGCTGGGGCCTGTGACATGTCCCCTCCCCCGTCTGTGTCAGTGTCCCTGGGTCCTGGCGCGAGTCAGACCTCCCTGCCCCTGAGTCAGGGTCTGCTTTCATCCATAATCCCACCCCAGTGTGGACAGGAAGCCTCGCACCCGGACCCCAGCCCTGCCTGCAGGGTCCCCCACCCCCATTGAGTGGGGCCTGCCCTTGTTCTCCTCCCAGTGGGGCCTGCCCTTGTTCTCCTCCCAGGGAGGACCCGTGGCGCGTGGCGAAGATGGTCAAGTCCTACCTGCAGCAGCACAACATCCCGCAGCGGGAGGTGGTCGACACCACCGGCCTCAACCAGTCGCACCTGTCCCAGCACCTCAACAAGGGCACCCCCATGAAGACGCAGAAGCGAGCCGCCCTGTACACCTGGTACGTCCGCAAGCAGCGAGAGGTGGCCCAGCGTAAGTAACAACCGCGCAGCCCTGTCTTCCTGACAAGCTCGGGGGTGGGGCTGGGAGCTTCCCCACCTGTTCCTCAGACAGGCAGCCCGGGGAAGGTCAGCGGGACCCATCCAGCCTTTATTTCTATTCTGCGCACGGCACCCTGGGAGAGGGAAGTCAGGCTGGTCCTGGGCATCCGATGATGGATAAGCAGGGCCCGACCCCAAGAGCTGTTGGTGGGGAAGGAGAAAGACCGTGTGATGTGGTGAGACATGTAAGCAGCCATGGCTGTAGCTCCTAGCCCCTCACAGTGCGCCTGGCCCGGGGCAGTGCCACCCAACGTCTATTTCCAAGTGCTGAGCTGGCGGCAGGGGAGAGAGATCTATTCTTCCTCAGGGAGGCAGGGCATCAGGCGGGTTCACACCAGCAGTATGGCCTTTAGACTCAGTCGTAAAGTGTGAGTTGAATTTTGACCCATGGAGACGGAGGGAAGGGAGTTTCGGGCAGAAGGAACAGCATGTGTAAAGGCTCAGAGGCGAGGTATGTGCTCAGGGACTCCCCCCTGAAACCTGGGAAGACCTGGGCGCACTACCATCGGGGAAGGGGGGACTTCCTCACTCAGGCCTCATCCCCCACCAGATCCCAGTGCACCTCACACTTTTGAGCCTGTCTGTGTGTAAAATAATTTCTAATATTTATTTTCATTAATTATCCAGCTTTTTTAATATATTATATATATATTTAATTGACTTTAGAGAGGAAGGGAGAGGGAGAGAGAGATAGAAACATCAGTGATGAGAGAGAATCATTAATCAGCTGCCTCCTGCATGCCCCCTACTGGGGATCAAGCCCGCAACCCAGGCATGTGCCCTTGATTGGAATCAAACCTGGAACCCTTCAGTCCGCAGGCCGACGCTCTATCCACTGAGCCAAACCGGCTAGGGCAATTATCCAGATTTCTAAAAGACAATACACACTTAGTTAGGAAGAAAAAATACAAGAAAGACTTTACAATAAAAATTAGATGTCCTTGTCCTAAAGCAGCCACTGGCACTCCCAGTCTTGCAGACCCCCTTCTGGAGGAATTGTAGGCCACGCTAGCCATGTCTACAGACCCTGACGCAGAGCCTCCCTTCCTCCCGCTCACTAACCGCCCTGGCCCGTCTGCCCCACGCCCTTGGCGGCTGCTCAGGGATACTCCGACTCAAGTGAAACCAGCTGACAAGGCTGGTGGGTCTTTGCTCTCAATGCACGTTAGGCTTTGGAATGCATCCCAGTGTGGAATGTTGACCATCGCGCTGAATCTACTCAGGAGACAGGCTTCCATTTTCTGCTCGACTCTGTGCAACCTGAGAGAAATAGTTAGTTCCCTGAACGTCACTGTAAAATGGGTGGCATGTGTGTCAAATGTGAGCAAATGCTGATGCTCACCTGGAGCCCTGTGAGACTATAGCTTGGCTCAGTAGAAAAGTGTGCAGGGGTTGATTAGTGATGCCTGGCTTGGACATGGGTTAAGAACGTGGTGGTACGTATGCTGTGTATCTGTTATCACTGGATTAGAGGATTTCCAAGCTCTAGCTGGAAGCTGCTCTGACTTGGCCCCTGGGAATGAGGAAGAATCAGGAGTGTGGTCAGGAACTGAGGCGGGGAAAGTGGGAGTGGCTGGTGCTCTGCTCACAGCTGCCTGTGCCTACAGAGTTCACCCACGCTGGGCAGGGGGGGCTGATTGAGGAGCCCACCGGAGATGAGCTGCCAACCAAGAAGGGACGGAGGAACCGTTTCAAATGGGGCCCAGCATCCCAGCAGATCCTGTTCCAGGCCTACGAGAGGCAGAAGAACCCCAGCAAGGAGGAGCGAGAGGCACTGGTGGAAGAGTGCAACAGGTCGGAGGGCGGCGGGCAGCAGGGCTGGCTTGGTCTGGGCAGGGCAGGGCTGGGGAAGGGAGGGTGGCTCTGGGTCCTGAGGGAGGCTCCCCCGTCTCAGCTCGGGCTCAGTGTCTGGAACCTACTCTATTTCCGACACACACACATACACACACACACACACACACACACACACGCCCCAGTCCAAGCAATGTTGAGTGGGTGCGCATCTCATTCATCCTCACCACAACCCGATGGTTATGTTGCTCACGTTATGACTGGAGACACTGAGCGGCTAAGTCACACAGTCACAGAGCAGAAGTGGGACCGCACCCCGGGTGCTAGCCCCAACATTCAGGTGGAGCCCTACCTCTCAGAACTCACCCCGACCCCAGGACAGGGCTCCTTGTGCCTGGCCTGGAGCTCACACTGGCTGTTTCTGCAGGGCCGAGTGCATCCAGAGGGGGGTGTCCCCATCACAGGCACAGGGGCTGGGCTCCAACCTCGTCACAGAGGTGCGTGTCTACAACTGGTTTGCCAATCGGCGCAAAGAAGAAGCCTTTCGGCACAAGCTGGCCATGGACACATACAGCGGGCCGCCATCGGGGCCAGGCCCGGGCCCGGCACTGCCCGCCCACAGCTCCCCTGGCCTGCCCCCATCTGCCCTCTCCCCCAGCAAGGTCCACGGTGAGTGCTCTGTGGGCAGGGGGTTGGGACCGTGTGAGTGCTCTGTGGGCAGGGGGTTGGGACCGTGGGTGGAGGGAAAGGGGGAAGGGGGGAGAGTTGGGGAGCATTTCAGTTTGGTTCCACTCCACTTTATTTACACTATTCTATCCACTCTATTACTCTCCCCTCCACTGACTATTCTATCCACTCTATTACTCTCCCCTCCACTGACCACAACACGTCACCCACTCCACTCCATTCACTCTGAGTTGGGTTCACTTCAATTCATTCATTTCAGATCAAGTAAACTCAATTCATTTCAGGTCAATTCTACTGTTTATTATAATCCAGTTTGTTCATTTAGATTTGGTGCTGTTTAATCCAATCCAACTGCCAATCAACTCAGTTTAATTAATATAATTCAAGGAAATTCAGTTAATTTTGTATGGCTCAGTTCGATTCAATCCAAATCAATTTGATTCAATTCAATTAAACTCAAACTCAATGTATTTCAGGTTCAGTTCAACTAGATTCAGTTTCATTAAACTAATTCCAATTATTTCTATTCAACTCAGTTTGCTGCAGTTTATTAGCTTCAGTTCAGTTTTTTTCAGTGGTTTTATTGAGCACCTACTGCATGTCGGGATAGCACTGGGCAGGGGGCAGGAGCTAATGAAATGCAGCCCTGTGTTCAGGAGTTGGAAGCAGCCAGCACCCTGCCTGGTAGGAGGCGCACATGCCAGCCCAGTTTGCTGGCTGCATAAAGAAAGATGGGCGAGTGGCCTAAGCCAGCCAACGAGGCCCCTGGAGGGCAGGAACGTGGGGTGCTGAGGCTGCACACTGCTCCCCCTCCAGGTGTGCGCTACGGACAACCTGCAACCAGTGAGGGGGCGGAAGTGCCCTCGAGCAGCGGCAGTTCCTTGGTCACAGTGTCCACACCCTTGCACCAAGTGTCCCCCACAGGCCTGGAGCCCAGTCACAGCCTGCTGAGCACTGAAGCCAAGCTGGTGAGTGTCCCCCCACCACCACCCCACCCCCCGGTAGGTGAGACCCTGCCAACCCCATCTTCCCTTGGTTGGGAAAAGCAGTCCTCACTCAGCTTGGTTTCCCCTCCAAGGTCTCCGCAGCTGGGGGGCCTCTGCCCCCGGTCAGCACCCTGACAGCACTGCACAGCTTGGAGCAGACCTCCCCAGGCCTCAGCCAGCAGCCCCAGAACCTCATCATGGCCTCGCTTCCCGGGGTCATGACCATCGGGCCTGGGGAGCCTGCCTCGCTGGGCTCTACGTTCACCAACACAGGCGCCTCCACTCTGGTCATTGGTAAGCTGGCGGGGTGGGGGCACAGAGCCCGAGAGCCGAGAGAGCCTCTGGGACCATTCGCTCACTCATCGTCCGTCACTCACTGCCTGCTCTGTGCCAGGCTGCGCTACACTGGTGACACCAAGGAAACCAGACAGGCCCAGCGCTCAGCGCTCACGTGGGGAGGCAGACAGTAAACGTAATGCGTGAGCCACAGAGTGCCTCCGGGGATGAAACGGCGTGGGGAAGACGGAGCAGCAGGAGGGGACCAATGTGGTCTAGGCTTTAGGCTTTTCTTTAAAGCCCAGAGGACTGTACTTACAGGAACTATTATACAGATGCTCAATAGCATATAAGACAGATGGGAGCTGATGAGAGAGGAGAGCAGACCTAAGCCCAGGGCCTTCGACTGCATGGAACCCAGGGCTCCAGGGACCCAGTCAGACCCACCTCCTGCCCAGATAATGAGCCAGAGGCTCAGAGAAGGGGAGTGACAGGTCCTAGGGCAAAGGCATTTCCGGTCTGGGAGGCAGGGGGGATGGTGCCCCAGGGGGCCCGGGGAGGCAGTGGACACGGTGGCCGGCTGACTCCTGCCCCTCCCGCTCCAGGTTTGGCCTCCACACAGGCACAGAGTGTGCCCGTCATCAACAGCATGGGCAGCAGCCTGGCCACCCTGCAGCCTGTGCAGTTCTCCCAGCCGCTGCACCCTTCCTACCAGCAGCCACTCATGTCCCCTGTGCAGAGCCACATGGCCCAGAACCCCTTCATGGCCACCATGGCCCAGCTGCAGAGCCCCCACGGTGAGCACAGGGAGGGGACCTCGCAGATACTGCGGCCTGTGTGTGTGTCTGGTACAAGTGTGAGTGCTTGTGATGGAGGGGGCTCTGAGGGGGCGCAGGTGAGCGTCTGTGGCCAGAACGTGTCTCCATGTGTGAATACGTGTGGCCATGTGTGTGCACGTGTGAGTGGAAACATGCCCACGTGTGGGAACGCAGGCCAGTCTTTCTCTAAACCCTTGGGGCCATATGTATTTCAGAATTAACTATGTTCAGATTTTCAAAGGTTAATATGGGGAACATACCATGGATTACATAACTCTCCCAGCAACGTTTGGGGTTAACTCTAGCACCAAGCCCTATGATTTCTGCAGCAAAAAGTAGAATTTCACCAAATAGATTAATAAAGACTTAAATAGCCCTGGCTGGTTTGGCTCAGTGGATAGAGCATTGGCCTGCGGACTGAAGGGTCCGGATTCAATTCCAGTCAAGGGCACATGCCCAGGTTGTGGGCTCGGTCCCCAGTAGGGGGCGTACAGGAGGCAGATCAATGATACTCCCCGTGTGCGTATTCCTGTGTGCATTTGATTGAGTGCATGCATTTATGTGTGTTATGTGGGTGGCTATGGTTTTATCTGTCAAGGTGAGAATATGAGTTTTTTTACTGGTGTCGTGTGGGGATGGCTATTAGGTGAGATTTGGGTTACGTTTCGGAGGCATCCTGGCCATGGAAATATGCTGCCCTCCGCCCTGCTGCCCCTCACAGGGGCAAGGCCTTCCCCTCTGAGGCCTGTTTAGCCTCCTGTTCCCTTTCACACCTGTTGTCTCCAGGTGCCGGGCGGAGCTGGGTGTGGGATCTGGGCCTTTCCCGGGTTCTCTCTGCAGGGGCTGAGCAGGCCCCTGTAGTTGGGGAGAGGGTCCCAACCCTGTATCTGAGCTCCATTTGGGAAATCAGCCCTGAGTCTCCCCCCACGGCCCCATCAGGCCATTTCCCAGACCTCACACCCCACTTCCCCAGCCCTGAGGCCCTCCTGGGAGGGGGCCAGCCCTGCCCAGGGTGCCACGTCTGTACCCTCTTCTGTCTTCTCCCTCCCGGCCAGCCCTTTACAGCCACAAGCCTGAGGTGGCTCAGTACACCCACACGGGCCTGCAGACCATGCTCATCACCGACACCACCAACCTGAGCGCCCTGGCCAGCCTCACACCCACCAAGCAGGTAAGGCCCCAGGCTGCCCTGCCCCGCCCCCCTCAGGCCCGCCTCAGAGAACACCCTGGGTCTCAGAAGGTGGCTCTGTTCTCCAGGTCTTCATCTCAGACACCGAGGCCTCCAGCGAGTCTGGGCTTCACACGCCAGCATCTCAGGCCACCACCATTCACATCCCCAGCCAGGACCCTGCTGGCATCCAGCACCTGCAGCCTTCCCACAGGCTCAGCGCCAGCCCCCCAGGTGAGCGGCCTCTCCCTGCTGGGTGTGTACAGGGGTGGGGAACGACGGGTCCGCAGGCAGGATAAGGCCCACAAAATCATTTGGCCTGGCCCTGCAAAGGCACTAGGCGTGAGTTAAACATTTGACCAAATATAGCAGACTAATTTTTAAGCTGATAATTGTGTGTGGCCCACGAATGTCATATCCAAATGGCCCTGGGCACAAAAACGGTGGGGCAAACTGTGAGTTGGGGGTAATGAGGCAGATCTTGGAGGGCACCCTGTGCTCCCCTGAAGTGAGCCAAGAGGGTTGTGAAATCACAGGGAAATGAGCACATCTCACAGAATCTATCTCATTGACTGGGTTGAGGAAAAGAGACAAAGTCGTGGGAAGAGGAGTAACTGCGCTGGTTGTGGGCCAGAAGTGGCTCATGGATACGTGGGTGTGGTTCAGGGTTTAGCATTCTTTGAATCATTGCTAACATTTAAAAATTAGGATTTTTCATAAAAAATCCAGATTTCTGACATCTTTTGGAAAATTGGAAGGACTCGTTTCCACATAGCAACAGAGTGTGGGCTCAGGCCACCATGTCCCCCTCAACCCATTTATTTCCATCCCCCTAAGACCCAAGTCTGCACCCTACAGGGTCATGGTGAAGAGCGGGCACTGTCGAGTCCGGGTGCCGGGCTTTGAGGCCTGGGGCGGCCACCTGCTAATGCGCAACTTTGGGCAAGTTGCTGCCCTTTCCGAGCCTCAGGTTCCTCCATCGGCCCTGGTGGCTGCAGGGAGGGCTTCCTGGTCCACGCTCCACCTGAGGAACTGTCATTTTACAGATGAGAAGCAGACACTCAAGGAGGTGAGGGACTTGGCCTTGCCTCTGACAGCTACTAGGTGGCAGGGCCAGGACTTGAACCCAGGTCCAAGCTCAAAGCCCATTCTCTTACCATCGGAATCTGTTGGGCTTCTCCCAAGCCAGAACCAACAGGATACATACCTATTTAAGGGACTGGCTCACGTGACTGTGGAACTGGCAAGTCAGAAAGCTGTTGGGCAGCTTGGCAACACAGGCAGGAGTTGATGCTGCATCCTGAGGTAGAATCCTTCCCTGGGAAATCGCAGCTTTGCTCTAAGGCCTCCCCTGATGGGATGAGGCCCACCCACAGTACTGAGGGACATCTTTACTGAAGTCAACTGACTGTAGGCGTTAAGCACATCTACAAAACACCTTCACAGCAACACTCGATGAGTCTTTGGGTCGACTGGACACTACAGCCTAGCCAAGCTGACACGTAACACTAACCACCTCACCATGTCACCAGCGCTTCTCTAACATTTCCACTAAAATGTTGAGAAGGCCACTCCCTGGGTGGCCCCAGAGCCTGCTGGGGGTCAATAAGACAAGGGCCCACCTCCCCCACCCCCAGTGCCTCAGGGATGAGTGGGAGGGGTCAGGATGGGCGTGGTGGGCAGCCAGCAGCTTCCTTTGCCTCTGCAGTGTCCTCCAGCAGCCTGGTGTTGTACCAGAGCTCCGAATCCACCAATGGCCACAGCCACCTGCTGCCATCCAACCACAGCGTCATCGAGACCTTCATCTCCACACAGATGGCCTCTTCTTCCCAGTAACCATGGCAACCACCTCCCAGGGGCTGGCACCTGAAGCCTGCCCAGCGATTTGGGGGGTGACCAGGGCATCTGAGCCTGCAAACATCTGCTACTACGGAGCTGCTGCCCTTCCCTAGACAACTGGGCCTCGGCCCCACCCAGCTTGGCCAGCGTCAGAGAGGGAGGGCTCTGAGGTGCCCCCACCCGAGGACTGCCTCAGCGCACAAGGGGGACTGTGGAGAGCTGGGAAGCGGAGCCTGCTCCTGGCAGGATGGGACTGCCCCTGCTGCTCCTGGTAAATCCTGTCACTTAGAAAAGAGGGGACAGACTCTGGACTCCAGCACGGCTAGCCTGGGCCTCTGGAGAGCCCCAGCACTCCCAAAGGAGCTCTGGCAGTCACTTCTCAGGACACAAGCCTGTGCAGCTGGGCCTCACTGAGCTCTGAGAGGCCTTAGACCATCCTGTCACCTACGCCCTGTCCAGGCCACTCCACCTGCCCCCTTCCTGCAATTAACCCATTTGCCCATTTGTTCCCACCCAACCCCCACTCACATCAGCATTCCGAGGGGCAGCCCTCGAGGAGCTCTCAGCTTCCCCCTCCCTGGGCCCTGTGACCGCGTTTCCTGGGACATTTGTTCCCGAGCATCATGCCTTCCAGTGCCAGCCTGGTATCTTGCCTCTGCTGAAAAGCCCCCAAGGCTAGGAAGTGTCCTCGCTCCTGTGGAGCCTTGCAACTCTGTGCCTCGTGCTAAGTCCTGGGGCAGCGGCTCCTCTGGCCTCTGGGGCCCTGCAGACCCTCCCCTGGTTTGGAAGAGAAGCTGCTGAGCTCAGAAGGCAGCAGGGCCTGAGCAGCTGGCAGAATAGAGGTGCCCAGAGGGAGAAGGGAGAGAGGAGACCAGCAGAGAGGAGTCACCTGTGTGGACAAGCCTGAGGCCTGGAAGCCTGGGGCCTGAGGGATGAGGCGGTCCAGCCCGAGTACCACCTGAGGAACAAGGTGCCGTGTCCCCGGGCTCCTGCGACCTCCCCTCCGAGGCTGCTGCGAGAACCGGGCCCTTTAGACCAGCAGTCGCCAACCTTTCGGACCTCACGGACCACCAGTTGGCGACGCTGCTTTAGACCACCTCCATCCTGGGACCATGAAGAGCTGCATCCCCTGCAGCTGGCAGCCAGCTAAAGACGAGCCTGTACATTATTTAACTTTTAATAAAGTAAACGAGGAACATACTGGAAACTTCTTGCTTGTCCCCCTCCCCCATCACCCAATGGGGTTGGGCAGGCAGAGGGAGGCGGAGGTGGGCCAGGAGCCAGAGGAGAGATGGGTCCAGCACACGCAGACTCTCAGGGGCCACCTGTCGTTCTTGCTCTGCCGAATCTATGCGACGATGCCAGAATTTTATCTTAACCTTGGCCTCCTGCTCCTTGAATAGGCCTCGTGCATGAAGCCCAGTCCACAAGGCCTGTGGCACTTCCGTAGCCTGCAGCAGGGGCAGGGACCCTCCTGTGTGGTGCTGATTTAAAATGTCTCATCAGCATTCAGCACTGCTGGAGGCAGCACCCAATCAGTTCCGTGCTGGGTCTGACCCTTAATTTTCGATAATCTGGTTGGGATATGATCGTGGTATGTTCACAAATGTAGAGAAACTTCTGGAAAATGAGGGGGGAAATCTCTCCTTCTTTTTCAGACAATGTTATATCCAGTCACAGGGCATAGGGGAGAAGCACAAACTCTTTGGGCCTTGACACCTCAGGGACCTCTTCCCTCATTTTCTTAAGACTGTCTCCCACACCAGGCTGAGGAGGAGGGTGGGTCTCCCTTCACTCACCTCCTCCGACAGCCCTGGGGAGATGGAAGTGTCACCGCTCAGCTATCAGCCTTGACTAGCTGGAAGGCTCCTTCCGGGACCACGGAACGTTCTGGTACCACACGTCTGCCCCAGCCCCAGTGGGAGCACAGGAGGCAGGCCTTGCTGAGGCTTCTCACTCTACAACCAAGGCTTTGCCCCGACTCTTGGGCAAGCCCCGTTCATGGGCAGAGTCTGGACTTGCAGCCAAGTCCCTGAACGTGGAGAGGGAGGCAGCACCTGGAAATGCCTCGTCCCAGTGGGCACCTCATCCCTGGGACTAGCTGGGCCCGCCCTGCACCTGGTCAGTGTGCAGACGCGGCTGCTGCGCTCTTTGATAGTGGGAACGGGGAGGCCTCAATGGCCCTCTTTGCCTTTTTCTTCCTTTTCTTCTTTTTGGTTCCAAGTGACACAAGGTCTCCGTTGAGCTTGGCTGACTCCTTTCCCTGCTTCCCGGCTGTGGCCTTGCTTGTGATGGTGGTGGCTGTGGTCAAGTCCGTGCTGGCCTCCTTCTTGGCTTTCTTTTTCAACTTCCTTTTCTTCTTCTTTGCTTCTTTTTCCACCTCGACAGGACCATGGATGGCGGACTCCTGCAGAATGGCAGAGGCTGACACAGCTGCCTCCTGGCACCGCTGCCACTCCTCATCACTGTCCTCACTGCTGCAGGGAGAGGGCAGTCTGGGTCAGCTCGGGCTGGGACTGAGCCCAAAGCTGCCCCAGAAAGCGCCCACGGGGGGTGGGCGGCAGGTGGAGAGCTCCGGCGCTCAGGAGTGAGGCAGACCTTCTAATACTGCTTCTCTGCTTCCTGGCTATGTGAGCTCATTCAATAACCTCTCTGACCCTCAGTGTCTTCATCTATAAAATGGGATCTTCGCTGAGCCGAGGGTCTGGCACATGATGGGTGCTCAAAAGCAGTAACCCTCCAAAGCCAGCCCCCGCTGAGTGTCCTCCCCCCCACGGAGGGTACTATTTCTCGAGCTGCCTGACGGCTCCTTCTTGGCCGGGACCGCACCGATCTGCCTGGCTACCCTAAGACACCGGCCAACCCGGAAAATGGGCAAAACCGAGGGGACTTGAGGAGAGGGTGTGCGATCTCACCTGGAGCGGGAAGGCAGTCGCTTTCGGCGGGGCTGGGGAGCAGCTGTCTCCTCAGGGCCTTCGGGGACGGAGGTGAAGAAGAGGCGGAAGCCTAAACCCCAAAGGGGCAGAGTCAGCACTGCCAGGGCCACCTCTCCTCCAGGCGCCAAGGGAGCCCTGCCTCTGCCCTCAGGGAGCACCTAGTCCAGAGGCAAACACCCAGGAATTGCTCCCGTCTAAGCACAAAAGGACGCCCATGTGCGGAGGGGCCTGCTGACGACGCTGGAGCCAGAGGACGGGGTGCTGAGGCGCCAGCGGCCAAACAGGCCAGCACGCCCTCAGCGGTGTTAGGGACTCAGCAGTTGAGCCTCCTGCCTAAGGCAGCTTCCAAAGTGGCAATGAGCCTGACACGGGACACACAGACTCGGACGGGAGAGGCTGTGCAGTGTGGTGGTGGGAGCTCTGCTCAGGGTTAGACAGACGTGGTCACCTCAGGCAAGGGCCTTCATTCCCGAGAGCCTCAGCCATCCTTACAGTCCCCCCCGGTAAGGGGGTGGAAGGGGGTATCATCATACCTGCCTCAGAGCAGATGCACGGATGACAGAGGGTAATACACCAAAACTATTTCCTAGCTCCAGACATATGATAGGTGCTTACTAAATGACAGCTGATATTAACTGTACTAGAGGCCTGGTGCACAAAATTCGTGCATGGGTAGGGTCCCTAGGCCTGGCCGGCAATAAGGGCTGATTGGGGCCTTCCAGCTGCCAGCAGAGGCCTTCCTTCGTTCTGCACCATCCCCTGGTGGTCAGCGCACGTCATAGCAAGCGATTGAACTCCCGGTCTCCGGGTCGAACTCCCGAGGGGACACTTTGCACATTAGCCTTTTATAGAGATGGAAGATGACTACTCACCATCATCCTCTGGGGTGGCTTTCTGTACCTCAGCCTTTGTTGGTTCCTTCACAGCTTCTGAGATGGTAATGGAGCTAAGGGAAGATGAGATAGTTGATTTAGGATGAAATTTGGGGTACCAACAAAATCTTTTTCAAAATATTAACACCATTTTTTTTTTAAGTGTAGGGGATGGGGCATGCAGTCTTAAATGCAAAGCAGACAGCACACTGGCCTGAAGAAAGCTAACACCCACAGCTATAACCTGCTGAGCAGCTGCTGCCACTCAAACTGCAGGGCTTCATTTGTTTAAGCCCCACTTTATCCCAGAAAACGCTGAGGATTTTTAAGATACTCATAGCACAACAAAATAAATACAATTTCAAACAGGGCTAAGAGAAAATAAACGCCGAGAGACAGAAATAGTCAAGTGTAGTGAGGAAGTCCTATAACACTTGCTTTTTGTTGTTGTCTTTTTCAATTTTAATTTAAAAAATTTTTTTGAGATAACTGTAGATTGACAAGCAGTTCCAAGAAATAATACAGAGAGATTCCATATACTCTTTTGTTTTTGTTTGTTAATCCTCACCAGAAGATATTTTTTCCATTGATATTTAGAGAGAGTGGAAGGGAGGGGGAGAAAAGAGAAAGGAGAGAAGAGGAGGAGAGAGGAGGAGGAGAGGGGGAAGGGGAGGGGGAGAGAGGGAGAGAAACATCAATGTGAGAGAGTCATACTGATTGGCTGCCTCCTGCATAAGCCCTGACTAGGGCTGGGGATAGAACCTGCAACCAGGTATGTGCCCTTGACCGGGAATCAAAACCATGACCCTTCAGCCCCGACTGGTTTGGCTCAGTGGATAGAGCATCAGCCTGCGGACTGAAGGGTCCTGGGTTCGATTCTGGTCAAGGGCATGTACCTTGGTTGCGAGCACATCCCCAGTGGGGGGTGTGCAGGAGGCAGCTGATCGATGTGTCTCTCTCATCGATGTTTCTAACTCTCTGTTCCTCTCCCTTCCTCTCTGTAAAAATCAATAAAATATATTTAAAAAAACAAAAAAACAAACCATGACCCTTCAGTGCTCAGTCTGGTACACTAACCACTTACCAACATTGGCCAGGCCAAGATTCCATATACTCTTCATCCAGTTTCTCCCTATGGTAACATTGTGAGTAACTGCAGTTCAATAGAAACTGACATTGATACAATCCATTGGCCTTAGACTTCAGAGACCTGGGTTTTGAATCCTGGCTGTGTCACTTATTAGTTGTGTCCCTTTTGGCGAGTGACTTCATCTCTCTGAGCCTGTTACCCATCTGTACACTGGGAGCCCCTACCTCTTTGGATTGCCACAGGAGCAAATGAGATAATGGATATCAAGCCCTTAGCACAGAGCCTGGCCACAAGCAGCAACTCAGTGAATGGTCCCTGTGATGACGATTACTGTCATCATGATAAGCAGTAAGTTCCACAGGCCCTCTACCAAAAATAAACCCTCTCTCCAGAAGCAGAGCAGGGAGAGCTGGAGACCAGGACGCCTGTCTCTGGTGATGCAGACAGAGGTCACTGTGCCCTACGGAGAACAACGCTCTCAGCACGTCCTCTCAGCAGACACAGCAGCGTGCCGGGTGCTTGCTCCTAACTGCCTTCCGCACATGCCAGAGGCATCCCCAGGAAGTCAGCCGGGAAGAGGAACTGGAGACGACGCCACCCATGCCTGACTGGTCCGGCATCTTTTTTTTTTTTTTTAATATATTTTATTGCATTTTTTACAGAGAGGAAGGGAAAGGATAGAGAGTTAGAAGCATCGATGAGAGAGAAACATTGATCAGCTGCCTCCTGCACACTCCCTACTGGGTATGTGCCCACAACCAAGGTACATGCCCTTGACCGGGATCGAACCCAGGACCCTTCAGTCCACAGGCTGACGCTCTCTCCGCTGAGCCAAACCGGTCAGGGCAACTGGTCTGGCATCTTAACAAAATGGTTCGATGTTGGTCCCTTGGAATATTTGGCAATGTCTGTCGACATTTTTGGTTGTCATAACTGCTGGGGGGAATGCTACAAGGACCTAGTGGGTAGAGGCCAGGCATGTTGTTGACCACCCTACAATGCACAAAACAGTCCCACAACCAAGAACCATCCAGTCCAAACGTCAATACTGCCAAGGCTGAGAAACCCTGATCTCACACAAGGGAAAAACAAAAACTCCGCAGGGAATATTCTGACGCTGCTTGACCAGCATCTGCTGGGTTTCCCCTGGGGCTTTCCATAGCGCCAGGTGGGCCTTGAACACCCTGAAGCCAAACAGTCACAAGGAAATACTGCTTTCAGAGGCTGAAGTGCCAAATGACCTTCCTAAACACGTTTCCCACATTCTGTTTCCCACATTCTCGAGTTTGGGACTGGCCCTGTGTCATGGTGGTTCAGGTTGCTGAGTTGTGGTCCAACATTCCGTCTCAGAAGAGCAGTTGGTTTACATTTGGGGAGGGCTCACTTGTCCTTTATGGTACCTCCTTCGAAGTGAAGGACTCTGGCTTGAACATCCTCACCTCCCTTTCAAAACCTGCTCTGTCAATCAGGAATGGATCTAGACCAGCGCATCCAGAAACATGTCCTGTTACATTATCAGTTGTCCACCAAACGAAGGCACTGTAGCCAAATGAGTCTAGAAACTCCTGGGCTGAACAAAGTTACACAGGTCGGTTTACTGCAAGGGCACATGGGGGTATGCAGACTTCTCTGTTGTTAGATCCTTTTTTTCTAGTCACACTTTGGACTAGTATTCCTTGGTGCCTATTTTAAAAATGCTGACCTAGATCTTTATAAATTATACTAGAGGCCTGATGCACAAAAATTTGGGCCCGGGGGGGGGGGGGGGGGGGGGGGGGTCCCTCAGCCCAGCCTATGCCCTCTTGCAGTCTGGGACCGCTCGGAGGATGTCCACCTGCTGGCTTAGGCCCACTCCCTGGGGGACTGGGCCTAAGCTGGTAGTCAGACATCCCTCTGGCAGCCCGGCAGCCCTCGGGGGAAGTCCACTTGTCAGCGGGGAGCAGGCCTAAGCTGCAGCGGACATCCTTAGCGCTGCTGAGGAAGCAGGAGAGGCTCCCACCAACACCACTGTACTGGCAGCCGTCAGCCTGGCTTGTGGCTGAGCAGAGCTCCCCCTGTGGGAGCGCACTGACCACCAGAGG